CCCAGCTAATTTTTTGTATTTTTAGTAGAGACGAGGTTTCAACGTGTTACCCAGCATGGTCTCGATTTCCTGACCTCGTGATCTGCCCGCCTCAGCCTCCCAAAGTGCTGGGATTACAGGTGTGAGCCACCGCGCCAGGCCAAAAATTTTAAGTTTTAAAGTCATTCTTTATTTGGTGCTAAAGCATACGAGACATTTTCTTAAGTCTACTTTCGCAATATTTTTAAATGATTTCAGTTTAAATTGATAACATTTCTCCTGCCTGTCCTGACTGTGATTGTATGTTCTAAAAACAATGAACAGTCTGCTGTAGATGTCCATTCTGAATACGTTCCCCAAAGTATGCACGCCATGTAAGATACATCAGTGCATGTATCACATATATTAATAACACCGTTATATGAAGTAATACCTGACAGAGCCAGTTCAGCCCCAATGGTGCAAGTCTTATTTCTAGGATGTAGAATGCTTCTGTGCAGTAATTTTACAGTAGTTTTTTTTTTTTTTTTTTTGGAGACGAAGTTTTGCTCTTATTGCGCAGGCTAGAATGCAGTGGTGCAATCTCAGCTCACTGCAACCTCCACCTCCCGGGTTCAAGCAATTCTCCTGCCTCAGCCTTCTGAGTAGCTGGCATTACAGGCACGCACCACCATGCCTGTCTAATTTTGTATTTTTTAGAGACGGAGTTTCACTACATTGGTAAGGCTAGTCTTAAACTACCAACTTCAGGTGATCGGCCCGTGTCGGCCTCCCAAAGTGCTGGGATTATAGGCATGAGCCACCACGCCCGGTCTATAGGAGTTTTTAACTGATTTTTAGTATTAATCCCATTCACAGGTATACAATTAAAACTTGTTACCAGTACGGTGGATCACATGAGATCCATCCATACCTTAAATCCCCAAACATATTCACTTCAATATATGATTTTGTGTTACTAATTTTCTTGCTATTTTCTTACTAAGAATGACAGAAGAGCAGAGAGTCAGGCTGTGTCTCGAGAAAGAACTCCCTAGAACAGAGTGGCCAAGATGAGCAAAGGCTGAACTGCTAACCCCATAGGTGGAAGCCTGTGCCTGCCATTGTCACTACTTTAAAGAACAGAGAGTGTCATCTTGCATGAGCTTTTTGCACCACACTATGTAATAATTACTTCATTAGGATAAGGTAATTTTATAGTTATTCCAATGACACAAAATCAAAATTATCACACAGAGAATCTACATTGCATTATACTTGGGGATTTGGCTACACAGGTACTCTTAACATGTTTACCACTTTAGAGAACTGAGGATTCTGCCTTAATAACTGAAGCCTAACACACTGGATGTTACATTCCTATAAGTTAGGTAGGGTCATGATTCCAGAATTTCTTTCAAGATATCCGTGGCTGGCAGTTTGAGAGAGACTTGCTTTGTACGTCAGTGTTTCCTCTTCCTGGGCCCACAAGCTTCAGTTCCTAGACGGCCTTTGCAGTTGGGCTGGGGCAGCAGAACTTCACTCCCACAGAAGGTGACACAGGTCACAGGCAGGCCTGGCCTTTAAGAAATGTGGTGCCACATTCTAGCAATCAGTTTCCCTGCTTCAGCAATGTGTTCCAGTTAGCTTAGATATACAATGTGGGATCCCTCTCAAGCCACATCAGATATTCTATTAATAAGAAAAAAAAAACAAAACTTAATAAACCTAATTTTGGATAAGCCTCTCAGATCTGGAGTTGTTCATTACTGCAACATAAACAGGTGGGGGTAACTGAGGTATAGAGGCAATATGATAGATTAGTGCTCTGGCCAACTGAAGACAATAAAAATACTAAAAATAAATAAATAAATAAATATAAATAAAAGAATCTTCTAAAATGCATCAAATGTATCTTTCTTAAAAAAAGAATTCTAGGAGGCAGAGGCTGCTGTGAGCCGAGATCACGCCACTGCACTCCAGCCTGGGCAACGGAGGGATACTGTGTCTCTAAAGAAAAAAAAGAAAAGAAAAAAGAAAAAAGAATTTTGCCCAGAAGCCAAAAACTACGTTTTGATATAAAAAGAAGGCCAAGGCTAATTTTCATCTGGAGAGTGTTTAGCAAATCAGATAAACCCGAACTTCAGTTTCTAAAGCCCCCAAGTATGGAAGGTTGTCAGAAGCCAAAGCCCAAGGCCTGCCCAAGGTGGACATCTCAAAGGATGCTGCACCACGTAAAGCCGAGATCCGAAATATCAAGATGAATGTAAGGAACACTCCCACTGGACTGCTAGGAAAAGTGGACAGCCAAACCTTGGCACTCCATAGCTGAGAAGATGAAAAAAGTCTCCCCTGAGCATTTGTAACCAGACATCAATTTCTCAGCAGTGTTACATTCAGAATCTGCACGGACAATGTGGTCCAAAAAAGCCTCAGACAAAATGTCCTAAGTAGTTGGTGCTCCCACAGAACTGGGCTACAAGTCCACTCAGCAGCCAGGCAAAAGTAAATGTAAATTCTCCCTGGATTTACTTTTAACTCACGCCTCAAACAATTCCCACACTTACTTAAAGTTCTCAGAAATGTGAGGTCCCGGCCCAAAATCATAAAACAGAGAAGGAACTGAGGTCACAAAATATGAAAGCAAAAGTGAACATAAAAGGCAGCTGGCTTACATTAGAATTATTCTAGACTATAAAACCGGTTTGATAATTATGTTTTCAGAAAGAGCCCCTTGAAAACGTGAGTAAAGGGCACGCATGTAAGAAAGAATACTCGTGGCAGGAATTAAAAACGCGGAGGGTGGGTCTAGCGGCAGATAGGAAGAGCGGAAGCGGGACAGTGAACAGAACACAGAGGTAGTGAAGAACTTCAGAATGCAGCCCAGAGAGATTAAGACATAGAAAATATGAAAGTGCTGAGATGTATACGATACAAGTAGAGGATCTTAAATACATGTAATAGGAGGTACAGAAGAAAAGAGAAGGAGAATAGGGCACTATTTGAAAACATAATGGTTGAGGGTTTTCCAGAAATGATGACAGACAACAATCTGTAGATGGAAGGAAATCCAATGAATCCCAAGCCAAATGTATTTCAGAAAGTTCATAATTATACCAATTATAGGGAAAATACAGAAACCCAAAACAGTAAAAATACCTTAACGTAGAAGTCATATTTTAGATGTAGCTTTTTCTATCAGTGAATCTGCCAATTATAATTTTAAAAAGTATTGTACTACATCTTTAACTAGTAATATATTGACCAGCGCATTTATACAGAGACAAGTTATGACTGAATACCTGAGCAGTCATACCATCAATTCAATGCAATATAACAAAGCTCAATGCTTCACAATAGTAGTAAGTTTCAAACTTCAGAAACTGTTGGGAATCTATGGGTATTTAACCAACGTATAATTTGATAAGAAATCTAAAAAGCATATCTGTACTGCTAACCAAAATTTTTAATGACTTTCCAAAACCTATGGCAAAAGGAAGTTCACATTCCATTGTGTGGAATTTAAAGTTCTTCACAATCAGTATCCCAATTAGTTTTCTCGTCTTATCTTCTGGCATTTTTCCATCCACACCCCATATTTTAGCTGCACAGAATTACCTGCAAATCCTCTAACATATCCTGCATCTCCATGTTTCTTTTCTGGCTCCTCTTGAATTAAGTAACTTTCCCATCATCTTCCACAGCAAGAATCTAGTCATCCTTGAATATTCTGTTGAATTGTAAGCTCAGTAGAAGGTATGTTGCATGAAAGGATTTCTGTTTATATTGTTAACTGCTCTATCCCTAGAAAGGAGCCTGGCAAATAGCAGGCACTCAGTAAATGTTTGTTGAAGTAATTGAGTGAAGACAACATGAATGCCTCTGTGAAGACTTTTCTTACTACACACATGCCCCAGTTTTCTATTATTTCATTTTTTGGTACTAATCTTTCAACACTGCATTATGATTACATTTGTATAAACGGATCTTTCATTACACTTAATCTGGAGAGCAAAGATCATATGCAACTCTTTATTTTTATCCTTCATTGCCATGCAGTGCAACAAATACGCAGAAGGCAGTCTGTAACTGTTGACTAAATAAATGGATAGTATTGTTTGAAATCTGAATTCTTCTCCTCTACTTTTATCCAGAAAGCAACATGGCTGAGACACACAAAGAGCCAGGAAAAAAAAAATGCAAAACTGGCTAAAGAATAGTAAGCATGCACTAAACCCACCCTATTAACCTAGTAACCAAACCACAATTTCTAGTAATGCCACACTACAGATGGTAGGTAGGGTAGAAGCAAAACTGTAAGCAGTAGACTACAATGAGAGGCAAACATGGAAAGATTTGTCCACTATCTTCAAAAAAAAAAAAAAAAAACAGAAACAAAAAGTTACCAAATCATATTTTTAAACTGAAATCCACCAATAAAGCTCATAAAATGTGTTTGTTTAGTGAGAATTCTGTTCTATGCACTACACTGACAGAAAATGTCATTAATGTTTATTGTTGGAAATGAAAGACATCATTAGAAATTATTCTGAGACATAGAAACTAATCACCAGGCAACTTATGAATAGTAAAAGCTCAAGATTGTCTTCTAAGTGGCCTAATGAAATCAAACCCAGTTTCCAATTATATCCAATTATAATGACAACACTCAAAATACATAAGAATTACATTAGCAGCATTTGCCAAGCCTTGTGTTTCCCCTATTGAGGTTTTTCTCAAATGTCATTCACATTCAGCTGTTCAAAACGCAAAAGTGCTCAACTTAATTCTTAGTCGATTTAGAGTTGCAACATTTTATCTTGTTTTCTAGACATAACAAAATTTAAACTTTCAGGATTCTCCTCCACATTTTTGCTGGTCAGTGACCTGAGGCAAAACTAAAGTGGCCACAAGAAAGCACACATGATCAGTTCCACTCGCAGTTCAAAGACCCAAGCACGGCCAATGTTTTCTCCTAGTCTACTCAAGTGGTAGAAGCTTTGTGAAGGGAAGGGCTCACACTATATTCTCTTTTGACTTACTGGTTGGAGCAGGTAGATCAGTGATTCCTCTTGGATTATTATAACTGGAAAAGGAGTGATGTGAGTCGCTCGGAACAAGGTATTCACAGATGCCATAATCTGGTCAAAACGCCCAGCGAGGCCTCCCAGTGTCACGATCACATCAACCTAAGCAAGGAAGGTAAAACCGGGAGTCACATATAGTCACATATAAAAAATAAGCAAAAATACAGAATATTGGTGTTTATGTTTTAAAATAATACATTAAAAAGGCTTAATGTGTGATCCATAAAGATGGCGTGAGTTTAGAATAATAACCTGTTAACCAAGCACCAACAGAACCTCTTCAGTTCCCAGAGAAATAAGTGGTATCAGGTCATGAAGCCAAATGTTGTTTCTCTGGTTCAATGGTTATACCAGGGATTTTGCAAAGTGCTTTACATACAAGATGTTCAAGAGTTTGACGAATGAATAAGTGAAGATATTGCAAGAAAAGACTCATTAGCCTAAGGAAGAAATAGATAATTGCCATACTGTGGGAATGTATACTTCAAAATGGGATTCCATAACAACACTAAAAGTAAATTACAGAGAAGAACCAAGTTCTGAAATGAGTTTCCTATTTGTGACCTTATCAGAATGTAAGAAGAATGGGAATTTTTACTAAGGGTAACATGCTTCACATTAAGCTTAAAATATTTTAAGACAGTCAAACCAGTAACTAAGAGTATAACTGGATTGTTTGTAACACAAAGGGTAAATGCTTCGGGGGATGGATAACCCAGTTTCCATGATGTGATTATATAACGTTGCGTGCCTGTACTAAAATATCTGTGTGTTCCCCAGAAATATACCCACCTAATATGTACTCAGGAACATCAAAAGTTAAAAATCAAAGAAACCAGGCAGGCTGGGTGCAGTGGCTCACACCTGTAATCTCAGCACTTTGGGAGACTGAGGCAGGCAAATTGCAAGGTCAAGAGATCGAGATCATCCTGGCCAACATGATGAAACCCCGTCTCTACTAAAAATATAAAAATTAGCTGGGCCCAAGTGGTGGTGTGCACCTGTAGTCCCAGCTACTGGGGAGGCTGAGGCAGGAGAATCATTTGAACCCAGGAGGCAGAGGTTGTGGTGAGCCAAGAATGCACCATTGCACTCCAGCCTGGGTGACAGAGTGAGACTATGTCTCACAAAAAAAAAAAAAGAAAAGAAAAAAGAAAGAAAAAGAAAAAAAGAAACAGAAACCAGACAAACCATACATCTAAAGGATCTATTATTCTCCTCAGAGATCTTTTTAGAATTCAAAGAATTAGGTTTTGTGGCTCAGAAAGACCATGTAATCTAGGAAGTACGTATTACTCCAAATACACAGGCAATGTCCAGGACATCTGTTAATATTCAGAGGAAAGAGTTAACTTGTAAGCAATTAGACATAGACTTATCAAAGGGATGGCTTCTGTTTGTGATATCAAGTTAGGTAAATCATTTCTATTTATGTTTTGGAGGCCTTATTAAGAAGGCCTCTATAGACCACTTGGGAAAGGCCCGGAGATTATTTATGACTTCAGGAAAACTAGAGCATTTGCTTTAAACTGAAGAGAAATACATAAATAAGAAATTGTATATGAAATATAGAGAAAGTTCTAAGGCTGCAGTAAAAAGCTCATGGCATATTCCTATCCACATAATCCTAAATTCATATCAGAAGCAAGGCCTGATAAAAGTTTATTCACTATACAGAATCTGAAATCCCCTTTTTAGGTTCTCAATTTTTCATTACTGTACGCTAAGCCTTGAGGGATCCCATAACCTTTAAGACTGAAATTTAATCCCCATCTTCTACAATGGGATATCATGATGAATAACCAGTATCTGTAAATCAATCATTAAAATTTTCAGAAGAAAGCAGCAGCAAGATTACCTCTCATCACTACTCATTTTCCCTACAGGAAGTATTTAGCGAGATTGATGAAAAACACGAGGATCAATGCAAGCTGCAGGTGGGACAGAAAAGGAATTGGCTTTGGATCATTTTTGCAGTTCTCTAGTTCTGGCTGGAAGTAGGACATCCGATATTCACAGAGATATCAGAAAGACCACAGAGTGTACAATCTAAAAGAGACCATTTATAGACTGCAAGTGTGTCTTTTCTGTGTGAACCCAAACCCCTGTGCATTTATTTCTAACATCACCCAGTCATACTTCGTTATAAACATTGACATATTTGTGAATCTCTCCTTCTAGAGGAGGCCTATGAAACACAGCTACTAGCACAGTGTTTGCAACAGAGTAGACAACAGGTGTTTACTGAGCTTCCCTTGAGCATATAAATACTCAGGAAAAACTGAGTAAATAACCAGAGAGGCAAGAAGCTAATTATTAGGCTGAGTTAACATCACCTAACTCCTACAAAATAGTACTTTCTTACTTGGAAATGATTCCAACAGGTAGTAGCTTTGGAAAAAACAAACACGTCATATTTATTAGCTCAGATATACATCTGATGCTTTTATAAGCTTCATTTACAAGCTAATGACAAGAAAAACTAACCAATGTTTGTGGATTATTTACCATGTGCTAGGAAATATCCTAAACACTTAGGATATATCAGCAAAGAACACATAAGCCCCTGCCTTCATGGAGTTAATATTCAAATGAAGGATAATATACACTTGATAAAAAGGTTTTTTTATAGGAATATATAAGTTAGAATGTGAAAAAAGGTGGTAAATGCTAAAAAAGAATAATAGAGTAGAGAAAGGAAGATAAAAAATGGTTGGGGGGAATGTTTCAACTTTAAATAAGACAGCTACAGTAGGCTGCATTGGAAAAGTAATAAAGTAGACAAAGACTTGAAAGAAGTTGAGGGAATTAGCCACATATGTGGATACATGGGGCAGGACAACAGGGGGCAGGACGATGTTCCAGAGAACAGACTATAGTAATATAGGGACAATGTTACATGGCTACAGGCATTGGCAAAGAGCTTTAGGAGTTAAGTTGCTAGAGCAAAATGAAAAATTAGTAGAAGTAGGAAAAATCAGAGTAAAATGCAAGTGTTAGATTTGTATAGAGCTTTGTTAAGTCATTGTAAAATCCTTGGTTTTTATTAACATTAAGTGGGGGGCCATTCTGGGCTGAGGGTTGATATGATCTATGTATTTTAAAATGTCACCATGCGGAGTGTGTTGAGAATAAACTGAAAAGGCAAGAAGTCAGGAGATAAAAAGAGATTACATTATAGTAATACAGATAAGAGATAAGTTTGCTACCCTTTATTACTGCATCAAACATGAATACCCAAGGCATCTACATAGCAAAACTCAGTGGTCAATTCCCAGTCCTTTTATTACTTAATCCTTCAGCAATATCTGACAAGTGAAAAAAAGTAAGGATTGCTTAAGAGACGTATGTGACACTATCAAGTATAACAACTTACACATTATTAGTGTACTAGAAGAACAAGAGAAAGAGAAAAGAACAGAAAATACATTCGAAGAAATAATGGCAGAAAACATCCCCAGCCTGGGGAAGGAAATAGAAAGCAAATCCAAGAAGCCTATGATAAATCAAATAAGATAAATCCAAAAAAGACCCACACCAAGACACATCATAATCAAAATGTCAAAAGTTAGGGTGTTGAAAGCAGCAAGGAAAAAGTGAATTGTCACATGTAAACGAATCTCCATAAACGTATCAGTGTATTTCTCAGCAGAAATCTTGCAGGCCAGAAGGGAGTTAAATCATATATTCAAAATCCTGAAGGGGGTTGGGGGTTGTTCTGTCAAGCAAGACTACTACTCCCAGCAATCCTGTCTTTTGAAAATGAAGAGGTAGTAAACACTCAGACAAACAAAAACTGAGAGAGTTTATCACCACTAGACTTGTCTTATAAGAAATGCCAAAGGGAGTTCTTCGAGCAGAAGAAGAGGACACTAATTAGTAACATTAAATATATGAAAGTATAAAACTTTAAGTATAAAAGCAAGTCTACTGTCAAATCCAATACACTCTAACACTGAAACAGTGCTGGGTAAACAATTATACCTCCAGTATAAAGGATAAAAGGCAAAATTACTAAAAACAAAACTACAGCTTTAATAATTTTTCAAGTGATTATGTATTATAAAAAACATAAACCAAGACATTAAAAACATAAAATGTGGGAAGTAGAAGAGTAAATGTGTAGTGGGTGTATGGGATCAAAATTAAGCTGTTATCAATTTGAAATAGCCAGTTTTAAGTATGTGTTATGTAAGCCTCAGGGTAACCACAAAGCAAAATCCACTAAGAGACACACAAAAGATAAGAAGAAAAGATCTAAATCATACTACTACAGGGAGCCGTCCATCAAACCACAAAGGAAGAACGCCAGTGGAAAAAAAGAACAGAAGATCTAAAAAACAACTGCTCTACAGAAAACAATGAACAAAATGGCACTAGTAAGTCTGCACCTATCAATAATTATATAAATGTAAATGGATAAACTTTTCCAGTCAAAAAGCATAGAGTGGTTGAATATACTGTTGTAAAGACTCAACATGGAATGGCTTTTTTATTCCTTCATTTTCAGTCTATGAGTGTCCTTTAAAGATTTGCTTTACTTTAAAGGACACTCATAGGCTGAAGGTGAAGGAATAAAAAAGACATTCCATGAAAATGGAAACAAAAAGAATGCAGGGGCAGCTATACATAATACAAACAAAATAGACTTTAGGTAGAAACAGTAAAAATAGACAAAGAAGATTCTTATATACTGACAAAGGGATCAGTTCATCAAGAGGATATGACAATTGTAAATATATGTCCACCCAACGTTGGAGCACCTAAATATATAAAGTAAACATTAAAAGATCTGAAAGGAGACAAAGACTTCAACACAATAATAGTAGGAGATTTCAATACCCCGCTTTAAACATTAGACAGGTCATCCAGACAGAAAATCAATAAGAAAACACCGGACTTGAACTGTACTTTTAAGTACCACAAATGGACCCAAAAGACATACCCAGAACATTCTATCCAACAGCAACAGAAGACATACTCTTCTTAAGTGCACAAGGAACATTCTCCAGAATAGATCATATGTTAGGTCATGGAACAAGTCTAACAAATTTAAGAAGATAAAAATCATATTAAGTATCTTCAACATAGTCCTGAAAGTC